GTTCTTCAATTATCAAATTATCGGTTTCTATAGTTAATGATTGAAATTTATTTCCTAAACGATCTGTATATTCATTTTGTTGATGAGTAGAATTTTTCATCAATGTTTTTTGTCGTAATATTCCACCATGTACATCAGTTTCAACAATTTCATTTGAATTTCGATCATAATATACTGTTTTTGCAAGTTCTCCATTGACTAAAATTAATGTTTTAGAAAAATTAATTGTAAAAATAAAGTTAATTATTTTACCATTTTGACATTTAATATCGAATAATTTGTCATTCATAATTATTTGAGTAAGACAATCTATACTCAGATCATATTCATATATTAAATTATTTGTCTTTGACATTATTGTTGCTTTTTTTACAGTGGAATTGTAGTCAATGTCAAATAAGTCAGAAAAATAAGATCGAGGACTATTTTTAAACTCAATTAAATGTTCATTACCAGAAAATTTTATTGTAAACGTATCTAAATTTTCATTTTTAATCAGTTTTAAATTTAAATTGTCACTCCATCCTAAACCAAATGGAATATTTTTTGTGTTTCTTAATGAAAATCGATGAGGATAGGAGCGAGAATAAACTAATTCGTTAGGAATAATTTCAAATTCCAATATATCCAATATATTGCCTATAAAAAATGCTCCATCTAGACGATTAATATGATAATATAAAAGTTGATCTAAACGATAAAATTGGACACCATTTGCTGATAGTTCATTTACTGTTTCATATAAAAGTTCGTTTGTTTTTAATTTTGCTTTTAATATTAGTTTTGCTGCCAAATAATTCCAGTTTGAATTAGAGTAAATATTTGATTTATAATTGTCTATATTATTTTCGATAAATTTAGAAAAAAATGTTTCATTATATGTAAGAACTGTAAACTTTCTTGAACCAATAAAGTCTGATTTTATCGGTCTAATTTTAAATCGAAGGATTGTATAAGATCTTGGCTGAATTATGGCGCCTAATCCGTCAGAATTATAAGTTAATAAATAATCATATAACAATGGAGGATATAACTCATCGTTTATACTAATTATTTTATAATCGGGCTCATCCTCACTAACGGTAACTTGGTTACCTTTTGATTTTGAATCCAACGAAGCAAACGAAATTTTTGTAGGATAAAAAATACGCACTGTTGAAATGAATATTATTGGGATGTAAACATCTGTGTCCCCATTATTTCTCACAGTAATGTCTATGTGTACTGTTTCATTCGGACGAAAAATTGAACGTGAGACATCTACAGTTAATTGTGCTTTTCCTCTAACACCGCTTATAATTTCAACATTTTGTTGTGATGTTTTATTATTTACCACTACATTCACAATATCTCCGTTTTGGAAATTAGTATTTAATAAATCGAATGTTGCAAAAAGGTAATCAATGTTAACTTTGAAAACTTTCATTGCGCAAGTAAAATCTTTTCGTTCTGTTGTTTTTGTCAAACAAACCTATCAGTTAAAATGAAATAAAAAACCAGCAGAGATATAGAAATACAAGCAGAAAAGCACAGAGTAGACTCGTATTTGAGTAGATAAACTAAATATTCAATGGACGTGTATTCGAATACATGCTCGAGGCAATATTTCTTGTATCTGTTTTCATGACGAAAAGTACATGATGATTACAATCATTTTTCCACATGTTTGGCAAAACTTAGAAACCATCAATATACTACACTATCTCAAAGTGAACACATCCAAATAGTACGCAACTGCACCTCATGAATTCACTTTGGTTGGCTAAAACCTATCTTTGAAAATGAATAGATTTTGAATGTAGTGAATAATATTCAAAACTCCAAATAGTGATCAGGTTAACTACAAATAAGTCTCTTTTTTCTAAGAAAAGAAACTGCATTACTAAAGAATTTAAATGTATATGACACTGTACCTCTCTCCATTTTAATACATATACTTGTACTTTTATAGTAACAGAACGTACTTGAATATGTACATTTTATCACCTATCTATCTTTATACTCTTACTCAAAAGTACCTGGTAAAGTAACGCCGAGTAACTAGTAAAGTGCTACCCCTATTTGATATCTGTAAGAAAATCGATTACCTTTGAACAATATCTCCGCAAATTCCCTGTTATATGTTTTTGGTAACTTACTTTTCTTAAAATAAAATAAGTTTGAAGAAAATTTTTATATACCATTCGATGCAGCTCTACGCGATGAATAAAAATGTCTACTGCTCAACTGTCATGTACGCTGTGAATATTGATGTTTCTGAATATCCCTGTTAAAACATGACCTTTTCAGCATAGTCAGCGATAATATTTCTATTTTTTCAGCATGCAAGAACTTAGGTTGCGATCCACATTATGTCCGTCTACATGTGTAGCAGAAACATTACGCTACACCTCGGGCTCTTGAGACAGATTTCTGAAAAACCTGGCTTTTTAGAGAAAATCTAGTGATTTTAAAGTTTTATTTAGAAGCTTTTCAACCCTTTCATTGGATAGCCCCCAGGCCAAATCGGCTGGAAAATGTCAAAAATGCATTTTTCCTCTGCGAGGGTAAATGGCTATAGCTTTTTTTCTAGCAAGGCTAGAGACTTGCGGTTTTCACCATTTGGTTCAGCTTGCTGAGCTCTCTCGTCTCTGATATGAAAAGTCGATGTAAATGGTGGCAGGTTTTATATGGATTGAGCCTATCCGTCAATGCGGAAAACATTACTCTCCAGTAGAACATCAGAAAAATTGAGTGTTCGTACCTTCGACTAGAAAGGAATTACCGATTATTTTGTAGAGTTTTGAAAGAGCTTTCTGCTGATACCGCAGTCTAAGTTCTTTCATTGTGAAAAAATAGAAATATTATCGCTGCCTATGCTGAAAAGGTCATGTTTTAACGGAAATATCAATAACGTGGATGTTCACAGTGTGCATGACAATTGAGCGGCAGATGGGGTCCTGAGGGTCTGAGACTTCTGAACCCGATCCCGACTCGGTCTCGTCGATTTAAAACCCGTCCCGAACCCGCATCCTAATCCACCAGAAGTTTTTCGGGATCCCGATCCCGTTTTTTTCAAATGAAACGCTTCCCAAACCCGCTCGAACTCGAAAATGTTTTTCTAGTAAAATAGCGCTCTCTTTCATTTGTGCATTAGTAAATCTCTACACCTAGAGGTAGGTTATTAAAATGTGTTGATACACAAATATCGATGGATAAAAGTACTGGAAAGCGAAAACAGTCAGATGAAAATGATGAGTATGAGCAATTAACAGCCCAGAAACAGAAACTTTATCAAAGTGATAGTAGTTTTTAATGACAGTGGAAAGTCAAAGACTTTTTATATTTCTATTTTTGTGATAAATGTCTGGCAGGCTTAGCAACAGATTTTCTTTTCTTACTTTTTCTTGAATAAAATAGCAGAAGTTGTCTAAGAAAACAATGCAACTTTTAAAACAGAAGCCCACTGTCAGTCCCGCTCAGATGAACTCAAACCCGTCCCGAACCCGAACCCGCGGGATCGGGTTAAACCAGCATGACTCTAACAGCAGACATATTTGTTCATCGCGTAAAGTTTCATCGAATGGTATATAAAAATTTTCCTTCAAACTTATTTTATTCTAAGAAAGGTAAAAAAAAACATATAGCAATGCCCAGTCAATCATAGTCATTCGTAAAATTGCAGGATTCCAAAGTTTACGAAAAATTTTACGCGTTTAACGAATTTGTGACACAAACACGCAAGAAGCTGTGCGTATAGGGAAAATCAAACACAGAAAGCGCACGTTGCCATGGAGATAGAGGCTTTACTCGCGTGTTCCTGTGTGTTATTTATATCGAGTTCGCCATTTCTTGCATGTTGATGTGTGTTAGGTAGTATAAAGAGCGCTTCGAAGAACAGTTTTAGTTTTCGCTTTCTTTACCATCTACGCATGTATGGTTCGATATGTATTCTTCTCATTGTTCAACATTCTTATACGGTGTGATATTCTCCTCATCGTTTAGTATTCTTATATGGTATGGTATTCTTCCTATTCTTTAAACATTCTTATATGGTCTGATATTGTGAAATTCTCTGTATGGTACGATTTTCTCTTCTTTTCTCGTCTCTTCTTATTTCTTTCTCTAACCTATTAATACGAACTGTTTTCCTTAGTGGAGGTACATTTGGCAGTTATCTTTTTCTGTTGAATAAACATATGGTCATTATCTTCTCATATATGCTACATTCACTAAATGCGTAAATTTTGGAATCCAGCAGTTTTCGAAATGATTATGACTGACTGGGTGGGTTTGCGGAGATATAGTTTAGAGGTAATCGATTTTATTACAGATATCGAGTCTAAACCAGGGTTTAGAACATCATAAAATCACATGCTCTTTCATTCTGGATACCTTTCGAGAAAATTTGAAATGGGGTCGATTGTCGTTATTATTGCACCTCTTCCTTTTACATATGAATTACACATACAAAAATATTTGTTTTAACTATGCGTAAATGCTAGACTTCTTTTGCATGTAAAATCATAAGAAAATGCATAAGATTATATATAAAAATTAATTTAAGAATGGCTTGAAACCTCGTATCTTATTTGCTTCAAGTTTTAATTGAAATGAGGAAATTTATCTTAAACAGCAGCTGTTTAAGGGCTCTCATTCAGGAAAAAACTGTTTTATCTTACATCCGATTTTGATGGCGCTTACAATGACTAATGCTTACTGTTCAGCTAGTTTATGCAAGAAATTTGAGATTGAGATGCTAGAGCGCTGCCGAGTTATTGCGTGACAAGGGGCAAAATGGGGTTCTTAGCAAAAATGCTAAGGCTTTTTTGTTAAAAAAACAGGTGTAAAAAGCTGCGGCTGATCTCGAATGAAAGTAGACACCTAAATCTAACGTTTACCCGTAGCGATTTTTAGACTTCGCTACTGCTCATGCTCTACAAGTATTTTAAGTCAGAACTTTGAAAATAACTCGAATTCGGAGGAGTATTAGCCACTTTTCTCTGCACAGAAAACGATATTCAAAAATCGTTATTGACAAACTTTAGATAAATGTCTTAGCTTCAAAATAAGAAAAAAAAACCGAAGGTTTTGCCATGAAAAATAGTCGTAAAAAACGATACAATTTTTGCTGCGCTAAAACAATATTTTAAGTAATGACATCAGCATTTCATGAATTATAATTCACCGCCTTTAGCAAAGCTAGTATAATTCTGCAAGACGAAGTTGTATAAATCTTCGGCATGTCTCATCTTGATCAGAACATTCTGCTCAACTTAACTGTAAATCTGTTAAAACTAACAACCTTAAAAATTTTAACTGAAAGGTGAAAATTAGAAAAAGATAACTTTTAGGGCTTTCAGAAATCTTTTTTAAAAACCTTTAGAAATATTGAATTTAATAGTAATAAAAAGCTATTGTAAAATAAATATTAAATATGCAAAGTATACTCAAACCACCCACTGATACTTGTGAGACAATTCGAAAAAATGTAGCTCTCTATGAGAAAAAATGTTTTCTCAGTTTTTGTACTTCATAAGATTTCTCATCTCATTTTCTATCTTCGAAATTTTGCAATAAAACAGTCAATACATATTTTGTAGAGAATTGAACCCGTTATATTTTGGCAAAAAGATTTGCTTGATTAATTATAAGGGAGAGGAGCATAATTGAAAAAACTAACACTATAATTCTTTTTGGACCACCATTACATATAGTGCTTACGCGTAAATATGTGTAGTTACGAGCTGTTATACGTGTAAACACATGTAGTTTCTTGTGTAAAATTTTTTTTCCGTTAGATATTGTAGTATTTTATATACTGTAATCTTTATAAACTATAAAATAATCCGCCCTACGGCTATTTCCCATGAATTAAAGTCATTCCTAAATAAAAGTTTACTTTAACTCGTTTAAACGGGTTAGAATAGATTTTAACTCATTAAAACTCGTTCAACGATAACTCACTGAATGCGTAAGCGTTCCGGTGCGTTAGAACGATAATTTTCCAGTTACCCTTTTGTTTTGCATGGCCAACTCATACATAAATAGCACATTCACTTAGACAATTTTCCAAGTTTTTCTCTTACTAAATACATGTGTGAGAGACTAGTCTAGCATATGATGCTGATAACAGTATTTAGTAGACCATAGTCATGTAGATCTTGGGATTCATCAACAGAACAAAAACCTGACTGAAATGGATAAACACACTGTACACGCACTATAACGCGTTAAAATTACGTTGATCCGAAGTATTATTCTAACAAGTGTAAACGCATCCAAGAAGCTAACTTGTTCAACTTTTAACCAGTTTCAACGATTTACAATTACAGAGGCATTCTCATGCACTACTAATCTAACTCGTTAGAATCACCGAATATGAAACATTTAACGCGGTTCTAACGCGTTAAGCCGCTTACGTAACGCGTTAGGGTTATAAAATTTTTGTAATTAACGAGTTTGAACGTCGTTTTCATATTTTTCTTGTAAAAGCGCGTTTGAGTTGGATATTGTCTTACCTCTAATTTTTGCGGAACAAAATTTCCGCTAATCTTGATTGTATTTTTACCAAGACAGCTTAGTTTTAATGGTTCTATTGTATCAATATCAATATCTGTCACTTCTTTTGCTACTATAATTGCTTCGTAATCATCATTCGACATCGATAAATAAGACTTAACCATAATGTAATAGTTTTCTGGTCTAACATTTCTCACTATAGAGAACTGTGAAAATGAGAATGAATAACGTGATTTTGCAAGGAACGAGTTTTCAGTTGGTATTTTGTTCACATTAACAAATATATCATTGTATGCAGTTTTTGAAGTCGTTTTAAACTCAATTTTATATGCATTAACACTTGTGTCTGGTCTTATTTTGAATAATAATTTGTCATTTGGTTTGACATTTATACGTTTTTCTTTATTCATTTCTAATTCTTCCACTTGAATAGTTAAGTTCTCCGTGCTTATACCAACATTATTTTCCAAATTTGACTCTTGAACGTTGGTTAAAGTGCGTACCAATCCATAATATGATCCATCAGGTACAAATGGTATTTCAATATCTTTTTGAAAATGAATACTTGTTAATGTATTTGATGATATTTGTTTTATTTCAAACGCTTGACAAAATCCATTTGGCAAAGTTAATTCCATATCATTGAAATCAAATGTTTTGTCTGTTAATAAATAAAAAGTATCACATTTCTGTGCTTTCAATTCATCGTCTGCACTTAATTGCCAACTGAAGTTAAGCTTTCCAAAAGCATGACTTAGAGTCACATTATTAAGAAAAATATCAGCGCTTTTGCGTGAACATATATTGATCATTATAGCAGCTTGATTATTATCTCGATCAGAATCAATGACAGCTTTTGATGTGTCTGTAACAAAGACAATGTAATAGATTTCTGCAATTATTGTCAAAGGAATTTTTAACTCAAATGTTTTTTTGTAAAATTCAATCTTATTAAGTTCTT